TATATCCGCCTCGCTGCTGAGTGATATATTCCACACACGCACATGCTCCTTGAAAAACTACTCCAAAACATAATTTACTACAACATTGTCAACAAAAACAAAGAGGGCTGATACTTCAAATATCAGCTTGCACCCTTCGTTACCACGGCTCCAGAAGAATTTGTTTACATTCCTGTATAAATCGTGAGTTCTTGGCATAGCTGTCGTGAGACTTACACGGTTCGATAACAACATTTCAAGCAGGCAACTGCACGAAAAGTAACACCGCCCCCCTCCCCACTTTCCTTAATTTTCGCTCACCAACACAAAAACAAGGCTCACAGAAAAACTAAAGCTTACCAAATGATCCTTTTGAGGTGGTTAAGATGACATGAAGTTGACGTAACGTAGGCAGTGTCGGGAAAGTTGTCGGGTCCCCCTTAAGTCCGCTAGATCGCCTTAAGTACGGAGTACCGCCGCGCCACAACATAACACACACATACACACAGGGCAACTTAACTCGCGCATGCGCGCTGGACAGGAATCCGGTTTAAAAGCCGGGAAATTTAATCTCAAAGCAGACGTTTGGAGAAAGAATGTTGCATGCATTTTGCCATAAAATGCAAATATATGGGGAAATACATAGAACACGGGACAGTAAGAAAATTTATAACAAATTGGGATGAGGAGCACTCCTAACATCTGCTTTGAGATCTCAAAAAGTATAGACGTTAGCCTCTACCAGTCTTCGGGAGGCGGCTGGAAAGAGTAGAAATATAACTTGTTAACTCTTTCCAGTCGCCTCCCGAAGACTGGTAGAGGCTAAGGGAAATGTAGTAATTTTTTTGCCATATTGTTTTCTGAAATGCAAATTTGGCAGAGTTGCTTCAGGAAAACGGGACACTCATACATCTGCTTGGAGAAATACTAGAAACAAGAAAAATAAATGGAGGCAGAGGATGGGATATTGTTGTTCTTTTCAATTGCAATTGCTTTTTAAAAAAATGCATTGACATTGGTCATGTTGATGGAGAAATTTTAATGTCAGTATATAAGAGGAATTGTGCAGCAAGTCTACCTTCCGAAACTAAAACTTGCACGGATGTAGGTCAGTTTTGGTACTCTGCCCTGCTTAAATCGCACTCCTAGCGGACGTCCCAATGATGACAGTATAAATGTGACATTAAACACAGTTGTTTTGCTGAAACAACAATCAAAAAAATCACATAACAAAGTGTTTTTAAAAACATGAATTGACCACAGCACATTTCTGTTAATTACACTCTTTTTCAATACTACATTGCACTGTTGAACACTCTACAAGTATTTTACAAAAATCTATTACATGTGTATCTTTTTAGATTGTTCGAATGGAACCACATCACATTCTTTTCATCACATTTTTACTTCTAATCCAAGATGATAATAAGGTACCTTTTGTTTCTAGCACCCTTCATTATCATTGATAAGTAATAATCATGTAGCTACTTTATATTGCTTTATTACTTGATTGCATTTGGTGATTATTACAGTTTTATTTCCAAAACATTGTTATGATGACATCTATTACCATTGTTGACGCCGTATACACACCATGGCGGGTCACTAACCCTATAGTATCGCTACGCTCACTCGGTGGTTTATGAGGTGGCTATCACACCTCATTCACCAGGGATTATCTCATCATATACACCTCGGGGTGGGGCATTAGTCTTTTATTATACCAAATAAAGTTACATATAGCCTGGTAGCTCGCAGATGAAACCTCTGAGTTTAGTACAGTCTTTTTCATCCCACGTGTCCCAGTGATACCAGAACCCAACACACCCACCCCAGTACTGGTTACTCGCTTTCGGTTCCCCAGGACGCCAGTTAGAGTAACCGGCCGACTTCAGGGTCTGGCCGTCCTCAAAAACCCACAGGCCGTTGTTTAGGTCACTCAGCCCGATCCAGCGGCCTTTGAAAGAAAGAAAGAAGGAAAGAAAGAAAGAAAGAAAGAAAGAAAGAAAGAATGAATGAATGAATGATTTTTTTTCAATACAAAATACAAGTATACATCGTACAAAACATACAGTAGAAGCCATTATCAGCTGAAATGATGTATGATTTACAGTTCATTGCTAAAAAGCTCCACTAAGCGATAACCACAGAAGGCTAAACATTAATATCAAAGATAAACATTAATCATAATTCAAATTAATCATATTCTCTAAGAAACACATGTCATGCACAAGCATGTGTGTAAATATACATGTGTTACTCAAGGACATCATGAGCTGTCGGTGAGTGTGCTACATAATTGCTCACCTTTGACTTCCCTTGCTAGGTTGTGGATGAAAGTGTTAGTGCCGCTGTCCTTGGGCATGGCGAGAGTACCCCCCTCTGCCGCACACGCCTGTCTAGCCTCTTCAAATGTGACCCGCTCCGTAAAGCTTTTGTAGCAAATTCCGTTAAAACGAACGTAGTCTGGTATTTCACAATCTGTTGAAAAAATGAGACTTTTTATGTTATTGAATTATTAATACTATATACATGTCTTCACTACTCTTCCTGGAGTCTTAAGTAACATATACAAAACATACACATAACATCAAGAATTATGACATACACATTTCGTTGGAAAAATGGATCGACAAAGATCAGACAATTAAATTCCGGCAAATTAAATGGCTCACCTCTATTCAAGTCACGCCAGGCAGATGTTTCGGGGTGCTTGAAAGAGCTCGATCCCACCAACGGAGGTCCAGACGTTGTTTTACCCCCTGCATCATCACCACTCATCACCGTGAGCCCCCCTTCTAAAGCCCCATGAGACCCAGTTACCCCATCTTGACCCTCCATTCCCATGGGATCCTTTAATTCAGGAGATCCACTAGACCCAGTTACCCCATCCTGGCCCTCCACTGCCATGGGGCCCGTAGACCCAGGGGATCCAGTAGACCCAGTTACCCCATCCTGACCCTCCACTCCCATGGAGTCCTTTAATTCAGGGGATCCAGTAGACCCAGTTACCCCATCCTGACCCTCCACTCCCATGGGGTCCTTTAATTCAGGAGATTCAGTAGACCCAGTTACCCCATCCTGACCCTCCACTCCCTTGGGATCCTTTAATTCAGGAGATCCAGTAGACCCAGTTACCCCATTCTGACCCTCCATTCTGACTGGGACCTTTAATTCAGGAGATCCAGTAGACCCAGTTACCCCATCCTGACCCTCCATTCCCATGGGGCCCGTAGACCCAGGATATCCAGTAGACCCAAGTACAGTTTGACCCTTTACATCTGGAGACCCGGTAGACCCATGTAACCCAGCCTGGTCACCCATTGCCATCATGACCCACTGTGCCCTGCACCTCCGTGCCATGGGGATCTTTGATTCAGTAGACCCAGTAGACCCATGCAATGCAGCCTGACGGTCCACTCCCGGGGGTGACTTTTTTGTGGTAGACCCATGCTGTTGATCCAATCCCACAGTAACCTGTTCTCCAGGAGATCCAGTGGACCCAGGTAACCCAGCCTCAATTCCCACTGAACCATCTTCTCCAGGAGAGCCAACAGACCCAGATAACCCAGCCTGACCACCCATCCCCGCGGTAATCTCTTCTCCAGGAGATCCAGTAGCCCCAGGTAACCCAGTCTTAGACCCAGGGAGTAATCCTGTGCCGCCTGACCCAGGGGCAGATAACGTAGGGAACACAGACGTTCCTGAAAGATACAGTTGACATATCAGCGATTCTATCGGTAGAGATTTAGCCTGGGTGCCAGACCCATGACACACTGGACACAAAGTATCTCAGTGCTCACTGAGATACTTTGTGTCCAGTGTGCCATGGGTCTGGCACCCAGGCTAGAGATTGCTCTCAAAGTGTCGACAGAGACTCCAATCGAAATGTCTGCCGATCCAGCCAGATTGCATTCCCCACCTTGAAAAATATATACATTTTTACTAGTCATAGGTCCACCAAAGGCAAATATTTTATTTTGGTACGGAAGAGCCATTTTCTAGTATGCTACAGTACTTACTTTCCAGCTTGCCCCATCGCTGATCAGTCGCCCTGTTCCGTTCATGGATTTTGTCCAGAAGTTTGGACGCCTTCCCAGAAGGAGACGTGATTTTTGCTGCAAATGGTAATGATGAAAGATTGATCATGAAAAGAGTCTACTAGAACTACTAGAAGAATCCAGACCAACATCACAGTCCCTCACCGTGATGAAAGATGAAAAGCTATCTGGCCACACACACACACACACACACACACACACACAAACAAAAAGCATTCGAGGACAAAAGATACAAAAACTGGTTCTGCTGCCGCGTACCAAGGACAGCAGCAAAGAGGCCCACATTTAACCTTGACTTTCATCTTCGAGCGCAGAACAAGAGTATCATAACATTCGCTTAATTTGTACTGACTACAAATGTTCCCTTTAGCGACACCTCCATTTTCCGTGGAGGTATAAAAGACACGAACGATAAGTTATCAATATGAGATGTGATAAGGAAAGAATTATCAAGTGTGAAATACTAAAAAATAATGTAAGTAACAATGATATCAATGGTTAACAATACACTAAAATGCTGACCTGCAAAATACGCCCAAAGTACGATAACAACCACGCTGAGCACCACGGGGCCGATGGTTTTCAAGCATTTCTTCTTATGCTTGTTGGCATCAAAGTACGCACCATCACTTGATCTTACACCTGAAAGAACAATTATCATTTCTTACTTCTTTTTCAAGTCTGATAATTCCACGGGTACCCTAAGACCACAAGGTTATTATTTAAAAAATGAATGTGGTCTCAAAAACCTAAAATTCCCGAGGTATGTACACTTCAGGTATCCCTTTTGTCTAAAACAAATTTGTCTTGAAAAGACATTGGCAGCGTTTTCAATTTGGCTGTCTTTCAAGTGGCAGTCGGTGGCATTATGATAGTTGATTTGATCAATGTGAAAGTAGACATATTAGGCACTGAAAGGCTCTATTGTTTCAGGTACTAGTAGATCTGGCGTTATAAAAATACCGGACGTGAAAAGACTACTTTTGACTTTCCCCGACAACTACGTACCGTATGAGTCGAAGGCAGTGAGGTAAAAGCCATCTAGCTGCCCCATTATTAATTACTTCCTAACATTTCCAAAAGAGAAAACAGGCGAAAGACTAAAAATTAAGGATCTTTTGTCTATGCTGCTTGTTACGCCATGTTGTGTGTGTAGTTTTACGACCTCAAAAATCATTTCTATTTTTTTCATAATTTTCGACAGCTATATTTGCCATTCCACTTTTTGCGGTGGTTACGTCACTTGGCTTCGTTGAAAAACAAAACAACATATATACTATAAAACTATTATTAGACTGTCTTGTAATATGATGCTCTAGTATGCAAACATGGAATCATTTCTTTACACCTCAACACTGAAATGATTTCGAATGAAACAAGACTTTTGAAAAAGTTTATCTCGGCCGCTGCCCATGGCAGTGTCCCGGTGAGTTTATTTGTAATGAGTGTAAGAGCACAGTCTGCACGGTGGCAATGATTGGTCTGCACGATGGCAGGGTTTGGTCTGCACGATGGCAGGGTTTGGTCTGCACGATGGCAATGGTTACAATGTGTGCAAGAGCACAGTGCACGATGGCAGTGGTTACAATGAGTGAAGAGTACAGTGTACGATGGCAGTGGTTTTATTGATAATAAGTGCAATATATATAGTTCAACATTGCTCCGGTATGTCTGGTGTAGAACAGGGCAATCCAAGACACATCTGGAAGAGAAGAAAAATAATTTCTTGATCAGTATAGCATCCAATTGAACATGTATATTGAATACTTCTTGCTATTAGCACATGGAAAGTCTTCAAAATTTCTCATACATAGAGATTCATTTATGCTATTTGGTGGGAAAATTTACCTTATACAATTGCAAATTAGCTTCGAAATCTGGAAAATTTGCGAGTGAATTAGATTGTTTGAAAGCACTGAGTTATTCCTTCAATACAGTAGCTAATGGTAACCCAGCTTAATACGAAAATCCAGTGGAGTGTACTGTATATAGAACGCGCATGGCTGCCCCCCCCCCCCAACTGAAAGTTACAATTTCTCAGAAAAGGAACGAATCAAACTAAATACAATACGACCGGAACATTGCAGAGAAGACATAAAAAATTGACGAGCACCTCCTGGCATTAAAGCAAGAAACTTAGCCTGCCATGCACTAACATAATGTTAGGTCGCACGAATTCATAAATTTTCACGTTCAATGGGGGGAGGGGGACGGTAACGTAACTCTGTTCAAGGTCCTTGCTCTGTTTAAATCTGTTCAACAGCACGAATAAAACACAATGTAATTGATTGCCCTTGCCCGTAGTATCTTTAGCTCTATTTTTATCCTATGGCTCTATGCCTAATACCCTTATTATTATGGGTTCACCACACCACGAAGTGGTGGTGAACCCATATTGCTTTTTCTGATGTTTCTTCTTCTCCTTCTCCTTCTCCTGCCATTTTTTAAATGGATTCAGCTTCTTCATTTTAGGGCCTAAGGTCCTGAAATTTGGTATGGAGGTACAGTGGGCAAATACCCCTAGGCGTTTTTTAAATTTTTGTGATACAGGCTTTTAGAATGGTTTTATTTGAGTTTTTTGGCTGTGTTATAGCAAATGTATTACCGTGTTAGTGTGCCGTGTTTACCACGTCTGGGCATGAGTCATCACAATGGAATGCAGGGCATCAACCAATAGGCATGCAGCTTTCCTCTATACTTCTTGCTGATTGGCTGTTGGAATTAACTTGATTAACACCTGCACAGAGCATTTCCACCTGCACAGAGCATTTCCACCTGCACAGAGCATTTCTTGCTGATTGGCTGTTGGGATTTAACTTGATTAACACCTGCACAGAGCATTTCCATACTGACAGTATGTCTTTATTCAAGAGTTTTGGTAGGTATTTCAAGCTTTTCTGCTCCAGCATTGGAATGCGGGGCATGTAACGTTTTTTTTTTATTTTGAAAATCAACAGTTTGCATTATGCAATTAAAAATCCTAACCAATAAAGTAGGGAATAGCTATCCAACTGTTGTTTTAGTTGTATGTTACTTCATATTATAGTTATATCAATGTAAATCATTGTTTTCCCTTGTGTTTCTCATTCTTTCCCTGCCATGTCGTAAAATGTGGTGAACCCATCGCTGTATTTGCTCCAAAGCAAATATTGGCCTTTCTAGTTCCTGATATTTTGCTATTTTTGCTAAGTATGCCCTTGCCAGCCTCATGCGTTACATCCGAGCCTCATGCGTTATTCACCAATCAAAAGCGACATCTTGCGACTTAGGCAAATATGTCAGCTAATGAACATAATTTATGTCATTGATTTATTGGTCCAATTACAGCAGCTATTAGCAAAATTCTAGAACATTAAATACATACTATGATAGAAAACAATGATTTTGTGGTAAACAGCATCTCCTCTTTTTTAGCATCTTCGTTGTATACGAATAACGTCACTATCATCCTGTAGGTCGACACCACAATGGAAAGTATACATGCAGAGTAATTGGTTTCATTGGTTTTCACGGTCGAAAACAAGATCCATCCAACGTACCTATTTTGGGGCCCAATACCTCGGCCGCTCAGGCGGCCGAGATAAAAAAAAAAAGAATCGGTGAGAGCCACCCCATATACATTACGCTTTCAACTAACAGCATTATCTAATAGTTTTTGAGATATAAAAGGTTAAATTGTGTTAGCAAAGTCTACCGACCGTTTCTGTCACCAGCCTTCCAGGACCTATTCTGTTGGCCGGACATGATGCCGCTTGTGGAGTTGACAACAGAACAAAAACACGTCCTACACCAGCAGGCAAGTTGTTTGGATTTCTGTATGCATGAGTCTGGATTGTTCAGTCAGTATTTTAAATCCCACGTCTGGATGTAACACACCAGCTTCACAAGCAGGACTTTTAAGCTTATCTTAAGTTATAACGTTATATAAAAGAAATCTTTGGCTTTTATATTAATATCAGAAACAAACTAAAGAAAGCAACCCGTATCATACCATGCTCTATAGCTTCGAGGTCGCACAATTTCAATTAGCCTGGTATCCAATCTGATCGTGGTCGGGGCCGAAAGAGCTCTGTCCCGCCCGCCTCACATAGGTTTCCCGGTGTGTATTTCACGAGAGATTGATTATCGTGTTGGGGGGAACCAAATCCCCAAGCATACTGTCTGTTATTAGCGTAACTCTCCTACCGGGACGGTCTGTTGCACTGGGCGGGGGAAGTTATTAGAGCCCCCGAAGACACAACCTGCCTGAACACCCCAATACCCCCAATCACGTAAGACTGGATACCAGGCTAAATTTCAATCAGTTCTGACGTTACGGCATCAAATACAAATGTACAATAGACAGGATATTACTCACGTTTGTATGCTTTATTGCCTACATATATGCACCGTTCCGGAAAATTTGGGACCTTGAAAAACAGCTTATAGACAAATTTACATGTACGTTTCTTGGAAAAAGTAATGGAGAAAATATCTAGACCATTAAAAAAATTATTATAATTAGGTGTTTACAATATCGGTATATTCGATATAATTTTTGTTATAAAACTAAGGTATCGTTAAATGTTGTTAACGTTACACGCTGATAACTTTACTGACACCTGTTAGTTTTCCATGTTTTTTTATTTATGTTTCGCGCAATGAAGTTCTCTTTGTGTCATCACTAACGCTTAGTTTAACAAAAAAAAAATGATTATCCATGAAATTTGCACCCCTTGACATAAATGCAAAATTCTTACCAACGTGTAATATCAACTAACAACTCTGGCATGTACCATTGTATGGCAATTAGCATGGAAAAACACAATTGTCTAAGCACAACTATGCAAATGAGGCACACTCAGAATAATTTTGCTGTTACACTGTTACGATTCCATTTTAACAAGCCTGAACGACTAAAATATATACTCTGGGTTATTCGCCACAGTAACTTACCGTCCTACATGGTTCATTTGCGGATATATCATTTGCGAAACGGTATACGGCCGAACTTACCAGTCACAAATATGCAAATAAGATATCTTACCAGTCACGAATATGCAAATAAGATGTATGCAGACGTTCACAGAGGATTGTGGGAACGAGAAGCAGTCGTCGCCATTTTGTTTGTGACAACGGCGATCTCCCGACCAGGGTGCTATGGTACGTGCAGGTTTCTGTGTTTTCCCGCCGAGGTTTGAATCTTGCTGGGCCCATAAACTTCCAGCTTCGTAGACACGGCATTTCTTGTGCGCATCAGAATGTGGTTGGATACCGATCGGGATACGATCGCGATCACACAAAATCTGAGGCTAAATTCTGTATGGGCGGCGTATGTACAACTTACGTTGGCTACGTGCGCGCGTTTGGTAACGTTAGAGCGTTTGAAAGGGGGAGGGGGGCGTGTGTGTGTGCGTGTGACTTGTGTTTTGATTTCTGAAGTTTTAAGAATCCTCTACATACACAGACTTTCTAGCATTATGCTACACATTTCGGGATCTACAAATTACCAACATTCACAACCGATCCATGTTTTGGACCCCAACCAGAGGTCAAACAAGTTCCAATTTAATCAAGGAGGTTATAACGTTAACCTGATTTAATTTGATTGACACTGCAATGACCTGTGCTAAGTTTGTGTAATAAATTGAGAGCCATAATGTGAATTTTTTTTAAATTCACATGGATTTTTGAGCATTAGATAGGTGAATCCGCTGTGAAATGATCTCGATTTTATATATAGGAGTCCGAGTCAGTAATAGGACCAAGTGTTTGAATAAATCATATAGTACTTTGCCTGAGAGAGAGAAATATAAATTTTCTACATGATGTGTGTGTGTGTCACTGTGTGTAACGCTAATGTTACCATGTATTACTCAGTATGTTTTCTTGATTTATGTATTTTATGTACCATATATTTTGTATCTTTAATGGTGCCTGAAGCTTACATAAAGTGCAAGAAATGTTGATTAAGTTTCATTCACAGTCATTCATTTTTTGTACATTGTATGTTTCTCCCTTTTTCTCAGGATGCAACAGTCCCTCCCCAGGCCCCGTCTGTTCCCATGACGATCCAGGTAGCAACAGAAGGTGGCGCTCCGTTTCCTGTCGTAGTCGCCGAGCAGACGCCCGCCATACTACAGGTCAAACCCAGCGCATAGACATTCACCCACGAGATCTAGCCTCCGTAGCAGGCTTATAGACCTGGGGGTTTGGTGGTCTTCGGCTGTTTTCTGATTAGCCCAGTTCCAAAAAAATTGGGGCAATTCAACCAGGCCGGCTATGTTGTCTATATGCAATCAGAAAATAGCACATAAAAGCGCCAAAAGACCCTGTAGACCCCCAGTTTTTGGCATGCTATGGACTGGCTACATGAGATCCCTGATCTCCGGATCCATTTGTCTAACTAAGGCCTCAAGAAAAAAAATGTGTTTTTTGTTTTCCGACCGACACTAGAAAAAACTACCGACCCTAGACTTTTTTTTATGAGTGGACGCCTGCAAGGGACATAAATTTTTGAGCTGATCAACCTTTTCTAGCTCCATGATCCTACACCTGAGTGATAAAACGTTGTACAATTGGTTTTCTAACATTGACATTGAAAATAAAAGTGTCCTCATATAGATATCACTGAAGTCTTTAAAACTTTAAAGAAAAAAAGATAATTCCTACCTACCTAATTTTTTCAGGACTGAAACAATTTTTTTGTAGGCCTAAGGCCACATCAATTCAATTTCTTCGTTAACGGATTTGTCTGCTTCATTTTTTTCTGATTTGCAAATAAAATTAAACATTCAGAATCAACTGCAAAATGCTCATATTTTGCCCTGAACAGTTGAAAACAGTCCTTTTCATCCTAGTTGTTACTGTAATACAGTTAGTCCATCTTTCAATGTAATTAAAAGTTCAAAATTCATTGTTGAAATTTTGAACCAGCCTGGTGTGTTGACTTCATGGCTCCTATCGTACCATTTTGGGCTACATACCTAGGCCTGTTTTTATTTTTATTTTTTTCCGCCCGCCTGCTCCATTATTTTTCTAGAAAAATCTGTCAACCAAGAAATTAAATTGGTGTGGCCTAACACATTCATTTCATACAGGTGGAACCCAGCGCTCAAAAATTCACCCACGAGATTCCGGATCTCAGCACGACCATCCTGGACTGGATGAACGGCTGTCGTTCCACAGGGTTCCTCTGCGACATCACGATCATCATTGACGGGAAACAGTTCCGGGCGCACAAGACCATCCTGGCCGCGTGCTGCGACTTCTTCAACACCATGTTTCACAACGAGGTGCAGCAACAGAACTTCCACAGTATTCTGGAGCTGAGAGGAGTTACTGCAGGTAACGGTGCACACCCCAGTTCTAGCGCGACCGGGGTCCGTGATAGTCTGTTGTAAAAAAACGAAAGGGTTTTGAGTGTCCAAGTTTGAGGTGACATTTCTCATAAACTGCCACGAAGTGTCATTAAACATTAACTTGGCTGAAGAGTGTAAGAAATGGTGATTTAGGGGTGAAAATTTTTTTTGGCTCCGAACCTTCCGGGTATCCTTGCGCGCCAAGTGTAATCCGCCAAGTTTGACCTAGATTTTGCTCAGCGCCTTCGTAGGAGTGGATTTGCAACCCCTCGCGCCGTGGACTGTTTAGAAAATTTCAGCACTAGAATTTTCTTTATAATTTACTCGGGTATAGTCAAGGTTTGAGTCTTTCTGCCAGTGAGTCAGTCATTTCTGCCGGAAAAGTTTGAAGAAACCAAACTCAGCTGGTCTTGTAGCTGAAGAGATATCCTTTCGTCCCATATACAGTTATTCTCCTTCCGAATTATTCCACGCCAGAGACGGTCGCTAGATTTGAGGGTGTGCAGCTTCGAATAGAGATGCCAAATAAACTGGGGTGTGCCCCAGTAGTACTAATCTCCAAGCAAATCATACGGTGGCAAGGCACTGAAGACAGTATCCATTGGCCAGAGGAGTGTCCATTAGCCACCTCGGGTAGCAAATAGATACTGTCTCGCAAATGGATATTACTGCCTGGCCAATTTGATACTGTGGCAGCCACTGAAAAATCTGGTTGGAGATTAAGTAATGCGGGGTTGTCACTCAAACTTTTCACAGCATACCGTACATAACGGTCACGTACAGAAGGCCAACTTTGCATGTAACTTTTTGGCCACTGATTCATTAATCATTTTACTTTTGTATCCAAAATTCAAATCATTTAAAACATACAGAGAAAAGTTCCATGTACAGCTATGTAATTGTAGAGAATTGTTGTAACCTTAGTCAAATTTTTTCTTTTATTTTTTTTTAGGAGGCTTCTCAGCACTGTTAGATTTCATGTACACGGGGAAGATCTCTGTAGATGAGACCAACCTTACAGACTTCACTGGAGCCCTACGGGCACTACAGGTATACATGTGCTTTCTGTGTTCCTGCAGTTTTGTTACATTTTGCCAGAGGGAGCTGTACAGTGTCTAGTTTCTGCCAGAGGGGTAATGTCTGATTAGTCCAGTAATAACTAATATGCTGTACATAGTAAACCTGGTAACCTTAGATATGTTCGTTGTTGTGTCATTTGTTTACATATGATTTTTATTTCTTTACAAATAACAGGTCCGAAATGCTGATGACATTTGCAAGAAGTTTGAGCCCTTTGCAGTTGCACTGGCCAGTTCACAGGTACGAGTACTGTAAATTCATTTATTTCTGAAGATCTGAATTTGGCAATAGGAAGGGATTAAAGAAGAATGTTATGGTGTTTTCCTTTTCGAACCAGCATAGTATGTCGTGGCTCCTATGGTAGCATTTGGGGCTATCACAGAATGCTTAGGCCACTTTTTTTCAAACACCCACTTTGTTTATTTTGTGTTAAAATCTGACAACCAACAAATCAAGTTGATATGGCCTAAAGTTGATGTTTCCCCCCTTGCATTTGTTCCAGTCTGACTCAGCAGGTGATCTGACAGAGTGTTTCAGTGGGGAGTCAGGACAGGATGACATGGGAACACATGCTTTATCAGACAGGTAAGACATGTGTACACAAGCACTGTCAATGTTAGCATACCTTGTTAGTGAATAGTAAGCTTATGTTACTGTATACAACATCTTCTTCTTATTCTTCTTAAATACCCTCGAACGACCCCTGTACGGGGTATCACTGAGGGGGGGCTGGCCTTAAAAGCCTCTACTGTCAGTGCCCTCACCACTGGGCCCGGCAGCTGGTTCCACTCGCTTACCGTGCGGGGAAAAAAAAGAAAACTTAAAACAGTCTTTATGTGCTGCGAATAACTGGAATTTGTAATCATGGCTACATGGCTGGTCCTTTTTTGGGCAGGTTTCAGGTATTTGTCATTATAAATCTTTGAATACTATTAATATTCCATACTAATTAGAGAAATAAGTTTACAATAATGAATCAAACAAGAACCAAGAGGAGAGGTCCTCAATAAGTAAGGTATACTTTTTGCCACAAAATAAGTGTGAATCAAGTAGGATATGATATAAAGTTTCAATGAGGTATGAAATCTTTGAGTTCTTAGGTTAACTTATTTGTATTGGTAAATATGCAGTAACATTGTTTTCTATTCTAAGGATTTGCTCTGTTGATATTTGTTACAGAAAGCTGAGGTCGCCCAACCAGAAGAGATATACCTGTGAACAGTGTAACACAGCCTTCAGTACACCCACCAACCATAAGAGACATATGCGCATCCATACCGGGGAGAAACCATACAAGTAACTACCATTCTTTGTGTTGTGACAAAAGTTTTAACTTTAAACATGTTAACAGGTTAGTACAGTGTGTACTTCTTTTTGTAAACCACTAGATTTTTTTTTCATTATCATCATTCATTTAGAATAGTTCTGCCAAGAAATTCTAAATATTACATGATTGCTGGTGCCAATTAACTCTTAATCCTTCCGATGTCTTGTTTGGCTAATTTTGAATACTGTAAGTCTACAAATTTCCGCGGTATATTTAGATTCGCGGCATTCGCGGGGACCTTTGTATCGCGAATCTATTTCCCCGCGAATATGTTTTGCGTAAGTGCGCCCCCTCCCCACATGCATTCACAACGGTAAGCGAAACACAAACACACGCGATTCACAAATCACTGCAAATCAACTTTATTCTTAGCAAATGTTGAGTACCCATTTTTTTTAAGTTATACTGATGTCAAAAAATTATAATATTATGAGACACCGAATCGCGATACTGCGGCACTGGCCGTGTCAACCGTGTACCGCCGAAAAAAATCTATGCGTGCAGAGCGCCGGCCATGCGCGCCCGGGCGCTTGAAAATTGCGGGAACATCGGGCATATCTACAAGTATTTTTATGAAAAATATAACGGCTGGTACCTGGGAAATGTTAGTTGGTTATCTTTTGCGCCCTGCTTTGCGGGCGTTTTTTTCTTCTTGTTGTTTTGCTGGGCCTACAAAACCGAACGACCTTTGCATACTTCCGGGTTCAAAATCTCGCCGAAGACGGCAGAAATTTGCTTAGTAATATATATATTCTTTCGATTATGCATTTCTTCACTAGAGTATCGATGTGTAGTCGTGGAAAATAGCATTTTAGCGCTTATTTCCGAACAAAGAAAATTGTTTACACGTGCGTCAGATCGATTGTCAGCTTTACCGCCGGCAGTCTCGCGCGGTGCACGAAACAAATTTTTGCGCCGCGTTTTAGGAGATATATCCCGGAACACGAACTTTTATTATTTTAAATATACACTTTACAAATTTTTCTTTGAAAAATAGCCAAGGAGACATCGCGAATCTAAAAATACCGCGGATTGTCCATTTTCCCGAAACCGCGAACTTTAGGCCCCGCGAATCTAAAGAGACTTACAGTAACCGTTTTTCTCCCTGTGTAGATGTGCAGAGCTTGACTGTGGAGCAGCCTTCAGTCAGTCCACCCACCTCAAGGAGCACATGCGCATCCACCGTGGGGAAAGACCTTACTCTTGTACGGTAGGGAAACTAACAATTCATCTGGGTAATGTTGACACTGTTACAGCTAGTGCTGCATACCTAAACCCACATTTAGGTTCAGGTCCGGATTCAAGTCCAGAGGTTTAGGTTCAGTTCCGGACGTGTAAGTCCGGACCTAAACCCATGGCATATACAAAATTGCATGTTGGCAACCTTGCAATGTTGTCTGGGTGAAACTTTGGCCACATAACATGGAGGCCGGTACTTGACGATGCCCGATGGCAATGTTTTCTTCATTTCTCATCATCATTTTGGAATCTAAAGAAGGTTTTAGGTGGTTTGGAAAGAAAAGGGGTATGCGAAATGGTCTTTTATGGTAATAGGTCAGGACTCGGTTCTTGACTTTTAGGTTTTTTTTTACTTGAACCTAAACATTCTTGCAAGTCCGGATCCAAGTCCAGTGAACCGGTATGCAGCACTAGTTACAGCTCTGCTATAGTACATTTGTACCTGATCTCAGCAGAACGTACTGCACAAAACCCAGATTTTTCATTTGATGTTTGGTCAACTATTCTGAAGTATTCTTCAGAATTTTGCCCCTTGCAGATGATACATGTACCTGACAGTGTTCTGACACAATATTTGAAAACTATAGACAAACTGCAAATACGACCTCTGTTCATTTCAAGTAACTGGTAAATCATTTTTTTGGCACAAGACACGAGTTTTGTTCAGTTAAAGTACAAGCTGTGTAAAAACCAAACTGTAAGGTTTGACCTTATAAGCATGGTGGGATCTTTAGTGTTCTTTGGAAGACAGGGTCTAAATCTGTACAATTTTTGTACACTCAAGCAGCATCTATTAGTAGTAGTATTACTAAGTATTAGTGAGAACACTGACTTCCCAGAAGTCTGAAATCATTGATTTCTTGTTTTTGCAGTTTTATGACAAGAAGTTTACTCAGTCCACTGGTAAATAGCTTTTTGGCATAACCCACCAATCTTGTACAGTAAGTACAGACCATGTAAAGCCAAACCGACTTTAACTTTGATCTACATGTATTTACACCAGAATAGACCCATACTCTTTTTGGTAAGTGTGGCGGGATCTAAAGTGTTCTTTAGAATAGGGGGTACAAATCACAGTGTAGGGAATCCCAGCAATGCTCAAACAGCATTTTCTACTGAAAACACTGACTTCCCAGAAGTTTTAACTGTCTGATTTCTTGTTTTTGTAGTTTTGTGACAAGAAGTTTACCCAGTCCACGGGTCTGCGGCGTCACATCCGTCTGCACACCGGTGAGAGACCTTACATCTGTACTGTCTGTCAGGAGACCTTCAACAGACAGAGGACCCTCAAGATCCACATGAGTAATAAACACGAGGGCAAGAAACTCTTCATGTGTAACATCTGCAACAAGGGCTTCAACTACTCCGAAAGCCTCAAAGAACATCAAGTCATCCATGGAGGTTAGCAAGATTTTGTTCTTTTGAAGAGTATTAAGCACTTGGGACAAGGGTGTCATTTTACAATCAATCAAAGGCCAGAAGAGGACAAGACTTTGTCATGCCTTCAAGTACCAAAGTTATCAACCAAGGATTGAGGTGTTCAAGAATTCATTCTTTCCTAGAACTATCGCAGAGTGGAACTCACTGTCATCAAGTACAGTAGGGGTATTATCATTAGATAGAGTTAGATATTCAAGGGTTAGGTGTAGCAAGTCGTTCAGTGCAATGTAGGGAGCTTTTTTTTGTAGTCAAAAAGAACAGTGACAGAATTAGATTTTTATGTGCTTTGCATAGCTGCTTTTGAACAGTTGGTAGGTAGTTGTGTAAGACAGTACTTCTCAAAATAATGTTTTCAGTAGCTACACCATAATGCATGTAAGTACGTACAAAATGCATTTTGTTGATCTTTAGGCAACCGTCCCTACAAGTGTGAACACTGTGGCCTGGGCTTCAACAACAAGAAGAACATGGCCAAGCACGTCAAGAAACTTCACGAGTGCTCTCCAGGAGACAGGACCTTAAAGTGTCCCGAGTGTGAGAGCTTCTTTGGTGACAAGTCAAGGTAAGAAGCTCCTTGTCTTTTAAGAAATTAACTGAAATCAGGATGTGCATGCTGTAACAGTTTATTAGAAATGCCTAGAATACTCTGCATACCAGACCTCTGTATCATTGTTCTAAAGTTGTATTATTAAAATAAATCTAATGTTGAAAAGCAAAAAGTGATGGAATAATAAATAGGCACAGCATACATTTTGTACCATCCAGTAGGCCTAAGGGCTCGAAATAGTAGTGCAATAAAATTTGAACAGTGCACCTACATGGAATTTTTTACTGTTGGTGCACCTACTAGATATTTGTGTAGGGAACATACATAAACTTTAAGGTACTACATTGTAATTGTACACTAGGAGTCTATATCATGTACTTGGCGTTTGGCATCTTCAGTAAGGATTATCTTAAAACAAATGTAATGACCTCACATCTACATTGTCCCCGTTTCCAGACTGACCGCTCACCTGAACAAAGTCCACAACAAGGACATCAGGAGACGACCGCGGGACAAGCGGAACGACAAGGGGCCCAAACACGTGATCGTGGTGTCTCCCGAGCGGAGGACTCACATCGTCACGCGGTCTGTAAGCCACGCGGCCAGCAGCGAGACAGCGCAAACCCGCCAACAGGAAATCATTGTCGTACAGGTAGGGAAAAGCTACTGTAAAATACAGTAAATTCAGGATTTTTTCACAGTGCGTCGATGAAGGTTAGACATCCAGGTAATACGATATACCAAAAAGCAGTTACAGTACTCAAGCAAAACAGACGTTTCAGCTAGTATCCACTAGCTTTCGTCAGTGAGTGAGAGACCAGAGTACTTTTATGTTCGCGGTTTTCACGCTTACTTTTGTACCATGAGCTTGTCATTGCCGTGGACATTCTTCTTTGTTCCACCTGTCCCCACCACGAACATGTAATTCCGTGAATGTGTCCATTTTTGCAAACTTAAATTGCTACGGGATATAATGTGGATACAATATCCTGAGTAATGTTTGAGGTAAAATTAAAGGTAAATCCTTCAATATTATGAAACAACTGCTTAGGTACACAGCGCTCATTTTGTCTAATTAATGAGTATATGTACTCAATGTATTTGCTCGATGCTTTCATGAATTCACTCTTTCTATCAGAAGGACGACAACTCTGCCGAAGACGAGCCAAGCTATGTCATCAAAGTTCTCGTCTCTGGGGAAGACGAGAACACCGGGCAGTCAGAAACTCTGGCGTGGAGTGCAGACGGACAGACCAAGGACACAGACACCGCAGGAAGCGTACAGAACAACCAATCAGGAAATGGCGACGTTTCTAGCCAAACTGCTACAGCAGTGGTTACTGAGGAGAATGGTGTGGTACAGAGTGTAGTTGAAGGGGGTGTAGGGAGTAGTTTGATCTCACCAAGTCAAGAACAGCAGAATGAAGCAACCAGTCAACCTGAACAGTCACAGAAAGGGACTGACACTGGACAGACTACTGTGTGATAATATACAGTACTTGGTCATAATACTGAAAAGCAAATGCAGGGTATTTGTCATATTTGTCAAAATTAACCTTGTTATTATACACTTGATGATAGTTACACTCTTAGGCCACATCAATTTAATTTCTTGGTTAACGGATTTGCCCGCTTCATTTTTTTTCTGATTTGCAAATAAAAATAAAAATTCAGAATCAACTGCAAAATGCTCATATTTGCCCTGAACTGTTGAAAACAGTCATTTTAATCCGAGTTGTTACAGTTATTCCATCTTTCAATGCAATGGTATCATTAAAAGTTCAAAATTCATTGTTTAAATTTTGAACCAGGCTGGTGTGTTGACTTCATGGCTCCTTTCATACCATTTTGGGCCATCATAGGATGCCTAGGCCTGTTTTTATTTTTTTTTCGCCCGCCCGCTGCATTATTTTTCTAGAAAAATCCGTTAACCAAGAAATTAAATTAGTGTGGCCTTATAGTTGTGAGCTGATTTATTATCTGATTGTAATTATGATTGTGATTATGGAAACATGTATGCGACTATAAATTGACTTGAACGTTTGTGTATATATGCAGGTTAACTTTGAAAAACAACTAGAAAATTATGTTTTTCAAGTTTTTTCCACCCAATTATTCTACGGTAAATGCATTTACTTTAATTTGTAGTGGTTCTAATTTGCAGTAAGGGAAATAAGTTTTTCATGATGTTTGAAGTTCACGGTTGAAACAATTCTGTAGTTCAATAGAAATGCAGTGTCATGATTTCATGTTACTAGTATAAGGATACTCCAAAAACAGTGAAAATGAAACTACTGCAAATGTTTCACAATTTGTTGTTTTTTTAACTGTAAATAATTTTCAAATCGCTTAAAGTTGATTCAGATGATTCTTTTTGTCAATCCATAATTCTTGAAATTCCTGTTTATAAAGACTAATTAACATTAATTATTATTTTCATACATGTAGATGATTGAACCGAATGGAAGAATTTGGAGATTTTGGAAAATACGTACATTGTACCTCAATGAAATCTGGTACTAGAAATGGTAAAATTGCATTTTTCTGAATAGATGATTTGTGTTACCCAACTTAGTATTTACATTGAAAGGTTTATTGTACAATATCTATGGCATGTACCAATGAAGAGAATTCTCATGGGAACTTTGGTGTTTGAAAAACATGAAACTCGAACAAGGTAACATTACAAGGTTTGCTTTATAGTTGTATAGTTGCCCTTTTGTATAAGATGTACATAAAAGTGTTTGATTATTGCATCTGCATGTTGGGTTTGGTAAACTACAATGTACATACTAGTACCTTGCTAGGTGAACAGTTACAAAGTTACTGAACATGACATCCGTATACAATATTGTTTTCAATGACTTAACATGTATGAAGTTAACGGAGCTCAAAGATAGTCACAATTGTAGTATTTGCCAAAGTGATTAATTTGAAAGGTTACAGAAATGAGATGTAAAATTTGTGATTTCGGTTGCTTGGCGTGTTATATATGTTGTACAGGTTGAGAAATTCTTAAGTCAAGTTTGCTTATATAATTTTGAAGAGACTATTGCAGACCTTGACTGTTACTTGATCTACTCGTGATTGACAGAATAAAACATAATTCACATATCTGAATTTTTTTCTCAATTTTGTTTATGTCCAGATTAAGGGTGCTTGCAACGTCAGATGAACAGATTTTCCCTTCGAAAAGACCACATTGTTATAATAATACAAAAATACAAAATAAACGAATATATTTTTTTATTAAAGGACCAGATACTTTTTAGTGTCTAAAATATGGGGGTGATTGCAAACAACAACAAAAATAGAATTATTTATATATGTTAGGTGCTGTGGGGTTTAAAGATGATTGTCATCAGAGATTAAAAAACAGCCGATGCTTCATTTTTTAATGAAAAAAAATTGGTAGGGTAGGCTTTGGGGCATGTGGAGAGAGTTTTTGCCTCACTGAAAATACTATTGTATCATAGTATGCTTTTACAAAATAGTGGATTTGGAGAGATTATCAAAGCAGCTGAATACTTAAAAATAAGTCTTAGAATACTATAGCATGTTATGCTTGACGTATGTACAATATCACAAAGTAATGGATTTGGAAATACTTTCAGGGCAGCTGGAAACGTAAAATATAAGTCTTGAAATACTATAGCAGGATCATGTTATGTTTTTATAATATAAAGTAATGGATTTGGAAATACTTAATTTCAGAGCAGCTGGTAGCTTGAAAATAATTTTTGTATCCTGTATCAGGATTATGTGTATATTATGTCGCCATATTACGTTTTCTCAAAGTAATGGCTTTTGATATATTCTATATCATGGCGAGATAACATAATCCTAATACAGGATATAGTAGATTCATTCCTCAAGCTAACGACATCTCGCACACGCAGTCGTCCCTCAGTAAGACACCTGGAGCCGCATAGTTCCCGTTCAGAACTTTTATTCAGCCTGTCACACGACCGGTTTCGCCTTTGTGGCTCCTTCAAGTGTACAGAGGCTGATGACACAAGTGCATGGAGTTCTCACTTATATTTTAGCCTCTGAAGAAGCCACACAGGCGAAACCGGTCGTGTGACAGTCTGAATAAAAGTTCTAAACGGGAACTATGTGACCCCAGGTGTCTTAGCGTGTTCGAGATGTCGGTTAGCTTCAGAAATGAATCCCTTCTACTATATATAATCCTGATACAGGATACAAGAATTATTTTCCAGCTGCTCTGAAAGGGAGTCTTGCCAAAAGCACCTGGCAACTTGAAAATAATTCTCTTGTATTACTGTTGCAGGATTTGGAGATTGTAATAGTACCTGATTGCCATTATCGGCTATGTGTGAGAAGGAAAATGCCACCTGTCTCGAATTATTGGCTTTCAGGCTAGATTCAAGGGAGGTTATACAATACTGTTACTATGCCTTTTGCAAGGTTCAACTGCATTAAAGGTTGCTGTTCTGATACAAGGTACCTTTTGTGAGCTATAGGTGTAATGTGGAAACACCTAGTACATATGTTTCTAGTCGGATTATTGGCTTTTAGACTATGCAAGCCTTAACAATATCAATGTTGCCCACCCCCAACAATATGAAGTGCAAAGTGTTAACAAACGAAGCTAAACATGCATGCTTGGGGTCCCAAAGTCAAAACCAAAAATGCCCTAAATCATTAAAAAAATAATTGCCGTTCCTATTTTGATATCCTTAAAAGATAGTAACGTACTGTAATAACCGAAACCGACCTTGCAGTTCTAAAACGAGCTCATAGGGGTTCCAAAGCCAGCGTAACCCAAAATGCAAGACCCCGATATATCCGGGACAAAAGATACAAAACCCAGATGTTCTGCTGCAGTACGAAAGAAAGCTGCAAGGAAACCCAAAGGAAACATTGACCAGACCAGCCACGTACCAAATATCACGCTATTCATACCTTCTTATAATAATAAGTTATACTGACCACAAACTGACAATTTCAGACATACAGATTGACAGACGACGCAAAGACGCACCCTACACTGCAAAGGTAATAATGTCCACTTCATTCTTTCAATATTACATGTATACAAAGCAAAGTCGCATGTCTAATTGTATGTACATTCAGAGGCTATCGTCCATTTCTTCGACATTAGTAAGATTTAGAGCCTGACATTTAAAATCTGCTACTTGCCGTCGTTCATATCTGTTCTATTCAAGATCTTCCGTTTTTAGCTCCGTTAGTTCGGTTTCATTCTTCCTTTTGCTAGATGCTTTTTCTGGCCCTGCAGTCTCTAGTTCTCTATCATGGATTTTCCAGCCACATATTTTTAATGTAGGCGGTAGTTCATTTACAGCACGTGAGCTTTCCTGGGTAGGATCTTGTGACGTTGGTGCATTCTCTGGTCCAAATGGTTGAACTTGGTCTTGATTTGCCCGGTTTCGCATGAAAACGGAGGTAACTGCCCGGTATAATACCATCAGTTTTTCCCAGATTGCCTGTCTTAAATTTGGCGTACGGACTAAAGTTGCCATTGGGCTAATGAAAGAGTTCGCGCATATGCAGGCAAATGCACCGTTCCTACCTGGGCACATACCCGGGCCAATCCTGCAAATCGCGACGAGTATGCACGATAGTAGCCAGAAGACAAACGCCACAACCACGTGAAGCATAACCGTTCTTGCCCTGTGCACTGTTCTTTCCAATTTCCTGCGTTCCTCGTCTTGTGCGACATTACGACGATGATTCACAGCCGTTTCCCGACTTTGTCCGAGACTATCTACTTCAACTGTTTGAGGTCGAGCTGCCACTGGTTTCCCAAGTCTCTTCATACGTCGTGTTTTGATGGCGATAAATGTAGAAATATTTGTGAACAACATGGTACCGCACAGAAAGAGCAATATAGATGCACAGATAATGACAATTGCCACAGGGTAATATGAAACACAGGTCCCTGTTGTCAAAATATGCATGTCTATACAGTTCCAACCCATATTGGGCGATATGGTAAGTAAGGTAAAACTAACCCATGTACAGGCAAGAACAACACCTACGTATCTATCGGCATTACCAGAATAGTTGCGGAAGAATATAGGATGCCTGATAGCAACATAACTATACACAGACAGCAAGGATAGCGCTGATGCAGACAACAGCTGAGTTAGTGTCATTAGATTGACGAAAGTCAGGATTACTCTAAACTTAACATCATGTACGAGGTGGCCCGCAGTACGATACAAAAGTGCAACACCTGCGAAGAGGTCGGTGGTTGCCAGATTTGCCAACAAGAAAGAGACAGTTTTACTGAGTTCTCTCGTTGCGATGATTCCCCACAGCACTACGGCATTGGTGATAATGATGAGAGGTCCCATCAGCCAAAAGATAATGTCCGTACCTGTTCCCAACCCCACAAGGTCTTCGTACTTCGAGCAAGCTTCGTTAGCCTGCGCGTTCGATACAGTCTTGTTTTGTAAATACCACCGATAACAGGACAGCAAGTTTGACATCTCAGGAGCAAGTGCCTTCTCTGTAGAAAACCACGAGTCTGAGCTGTTGTTGAACATCTTGGAGATGATTTCTGTCGTCTGTGGTAGGAGCAAGAATGCAGCAGGACCTCTTCAGCAAAGGAGAGTAGGTTGTCTGTGACACGGGAGAAAGTCTCAACGCTGCACGCAAAATTTCCACGACCTTTCCGTACGTTAATGCGTTTGGCCTCGGACTGTTGAAATCTAAAACCTTCGGGTCAGCGATTAGTTACGACCATCACGAAGCAACAGATGCAGCAGACGTCATACTAGGTTCTAGCAACAAACTGAACTCGATCATGACATAAGGACTGGACGTTTAAAAAACAGCACTAAGCGATACACTGTCAGATTATTGACATGATGATATATCGTAGTTTTTATGACAGTAGATTTTTGTGCTCGAGAACCTCTATAACCTTTTCATACAGTTTTGATCAACAAACTGTAGAACAGAAATATTCGTTAAAAATTTCTCGATCAAGTTCGTTATAGTAAATGTTAGAAGAATTTAGGGCCCAATTCTTATGGGAACCTTGCCACTCTGTTTACGATTTCAGTACTCAATTAACCATGAATTTTATCATTATACTGCACGTAAATGACCACAATCTTGCAATTACGCAACTACATTACTATGGGCACCGCTAATACCACGAAGATCGTATACTTTTTTGCCTTTAATGTAACAAGGATAAGGACATCCGTATGGAACAATGGAAAAAATGTTGTTTTCTGCCTTTGTTGATCCCGATCTGGTTCTTTGGTGGTCTCCTCGTCATTTCATTTGCTACCTAAATTTCATTTGTAAAAAAAAAACCTACATGTGGGGCAACCTTCGAAGCTACTGATTGGTCTGAAACCTTTCAAGCAATGTATATTTTCTATACAAGATGGAGAAAAAGATAAAATTACATAGCAGCAGCTGTAGACTAATCTAGAGAACATTTGATTGAAGACACAGGTGAGAAAATTACACTCCTGTACTAGCAATCTCCTTTCACAGTTACATAAGATAGCGTAAATGGAATACGCCGCAGGGTCGGAGGCGTTTTGGGGGGCATCATTTTGATATTGATGGAATCATGAAAAAGTCTTGCGACAAGCGACCAAAACTAAAAGAAAGGAAAGTAACACAAAGTAATCTCGATCTAGTTTTAGCTCACGGATTCCGTACGTTGAACTCTCATAGGCTGTACGGGGCACGCGCGTCGCCCGTACTCGCACGCACGGGTGGTAAATCCGCAGACCGCACGTAGAAAAAGTTTTACATGCACTTAAAGTTCTACGGCGTGTCTGCGTGCTCCCAAATCCGTAGGATTCCGTACGGAGGTGGTACTCACCACGCACGGATGTCCAACGATTGCCCACGTTTTTGCACGTAGACAGCACGCAGAAGCACGTACGGCGGGTTGTGACCGTCGCTTAAGACACCTGGAGCCGCATAGACTCCATAGTTCCCGTTTAGAACTTTTATTCAGCCTGCCACACGACCGGTTTCACCAAGTCTACAGAGGCTAAAATATAAAAAAAAAATGAGAACGTCGTGCACTTGTGTCATTAGCCTCTGTACACTTGATGAAACCGGTCGTGCGACAGGCTGAATAAAAGTTCTAAATGGGAACTATGTGGCCCCAGGTGTCTTACTGAGGGACAACTGCGTGTGCGAGATGTCGGTTAGCTTCAGAAATGAATCCCATCTACTATATTAATCCTGATACAGGATACAAGAATTATTTTCCAGCTGCTCTGAAAGGGAGCCTTGCCAAAAGCACCTGGCAACTTGAAAATAATTCTCTTGTATTACTGTTGCAGGATTTGGATATTGTAATTGTACCTGATTGCCATTATCGGCTATGTGTGAGAAGGAAAATGCCACCTGTCTCGAATTATTGGCTTTCAGGCTAGATTCAAGGGAGGTTATACAATACTGTTACTATGCCTTTTGCAAGGTTCAACTGCATTAAAGGTTGCTGTTCTGATACAAGTTAACCTTTTGTGAGCTATAGGTGTAATGTGGAAACACCTAGTACATATGTTTCTAGTCGGATTATTGGCTTTTAGACTATGCAAGCCTTAACAATATCAATGTTGCCCACCCCCAACAATATGAAGTGCAAAGTGTTAACAAACGAAGCTAAACATGCATGCTTGGGGTCCCAAAGTCAAAACCAAAAATGCCCTAAATCATTAAAAAAATAATTGCCGTTCCTATTTTGATATCCTTAAAAGATAGTAACGTACTGTAATAACCGAAACCGACCTTGCAGTTCTAAAACGAGCTCATAGGGGTTCCAAAGCCAGCGTAACCCAAAATGCAAGACCCCGATATATCCGGGACAAAAGATACAAAACCCAGATGTTCTGCTGCAGTACGAAAGAAAGCTGCAAGGAAACCCAAAGGAAACATTGACCAGACCAGCCACGTACCAAATATCACGCTATTCATACCTTCTTATAATAATAAGTTATACTGACCACAAACTGACAATTTCAGACATACAGATTGACAGACGACGCAAAGACGCACCCTACACTGCAAAGGTAATAATGTCCACTTCATTCTTTCAATATTACATGTATACAAAGCAAAGTCGCATGTCTAATTGTATGTACATTCAGAGGCTATCGTCCATTTCTTCGACATTAGTAAGATTTAGAGCCTGACATTTAAAATCTGCTACTTGCCGTCGTTCATATCTGTTCTATTCAAGATCTTCCGTTTTTAGCTCCGTTAGTTCGGTTTCATTCTTCCTTTTGCTAGATGCTTTTTCTGGCCCTGCAGTCTCTAGTTCTCCATCATGGATTTTCCAGCCACATATTTTTAATGTAGGCGGTAGTTCATTTACAGCACGTGAGCTTTCCTGGGTAGGATCTTGTGACGTTGGTGCATTCTCTGGTCCAAATGGTTGAACTTGGTCTTGATTTGCCCGGTTTCGCATGAAAACGGAGGTAACTGCCCGGTATAATACCATCAGTTTTTCCCAGATTGCCTGTCTTAAATTTGGCGTACGGACTAAAGTTGCCATTGGGCTAATGAAAGAGTTCGCGCATATGCAGGCAAATGCACCGTTCCTACCTGGGCACATACCCGGGCCAATCCTACAAATCGCGACGAGTATGCACGATAGCAGCCAGAAGACAAACGCCATAACCACGTGAAGCATAACTGTTCTTGCCCTGTGCACTGTTCTTTCCAGTTTCCTGCGTTCCTCGTCTTGTGCGACATTGCGACGATGATTCACAACCGTTTCCCGACTTTTTCCGAGACTATCTACTTCAACTGTTTGAGGTCGAGCTTCCACTAGTCTCCCAAGTCTCTTTATACTTCGTTTTTTGATGGCGATAAATGTAGAAATATTTGTAAACAACATGATACCGCACAGAAAGAGCAATATAGATGCACAGATAATGACAATTGCCACAGGGTAATATGAAACACAGGTCCCTGTGGTTAAAATATGCATGTCTATACAGTTCCAACCCATATTGGGCGATATGGTAAGTAAGGTAAAACTAACCCACGTACAGGCAAGAACTACACCTACGTATCTATCGGCATTACCAGAATGGCTGCGGAAGAATATAGGATGCCGGATAGCAACATAACTGTTCACAGACAGCAAGGAAAGGGCTGATGCAGACAACAGCTGAGTTAGTGTCATCAGATTGACGAAAGTCAGGATTACTCTAAACTTAACATCATGTACGAGGTGACCCACGGTACGATACAGAAGTGCAACACCTGCGAAGAGGTCCGTAGTTGCCAGATTTGCCAACAAGAAAGAGACCGTTCTGCTGAGTTCTCGCGTTGCGACGATTCCCCATACCACGGCAGCATTGGTGATAATGATGAGAAGTCCCATTAACCAAAAAACAATGTCCGTACCGGTTCCCAACCTCACAAGGTCTTCGTACTTCGAGCAAGCTTCGCTAGCCTGCGCGTTGGATACAGTCTTGTTTTGTAAATACCACCGATAACAGGACAGCAAGTTTGACATCTCAGGAGCAAGTGCCTTCTCTGTAGAAAGCCACGAGTCTGAGCTGTTGTTGAACATCTTGGAGATGATTACTGTCGTCTGTGGTAGGAGCAAGAATGTAGCATGACCTCCTCAGCAAGGGAGAGTAGGTTGTCTCTGACACGAGAGAAAGTCTCAACGCTGCACGCAAAATTACCACGATCTTTCTATACGTTAATGCGTTTGGCTTCGGGCTGTTGAAATCTAAAACCTTCAGCGATTGGTTACCACCATCGCGAAGCAACAGATGCAGCAGACGTCATACTAGGTTTTAGCAACAAACTGAACTCGATCATGCTCTAAGGACTGGACGCTTCAGAAACAGCACTAAACGATACATTGTCAGATTATTGACATGATGATATATCGTAGTTTTTATGACAGTAGATTTTTGTGCTCGACATTAACTTTGAAGGTATTACGTACCCTCTATAACGTTTTCATACAGTTTTGATCAACAAACTGTAGAACAGAAATATTAGTTTAAAATTTCTCGATCAAGTTCGTTATAGTAAATGTTAGAAGAATTCAGGGCCCAATTCTTATGGGAACTTTGCCATTCTGTTTACGATTTCAGTACTCAATTAACCATAAATCTTATCATTATATTATATGACCAACACTGCGTGTAAAATGACCACGATCTTGTAATTCCGCAACTAACTACATTACTATGGGAACCGCTTATACCAAGAATATCGTATGTTTTGCCGTTCATGTAACAATGATAAGGAGATCCGTATGGACCAGTGGAAAAAAATGTAACTGTTGTTTTCTGCCTTTTGTTGTTCCCGACCTAGTTCTTCGGTCTCTTCGTCATTTCATTTGCTGCCTACATTTTGTAAACATGTAACCGACATGTAGGGCAACCTTCGAAGCTGCTGATTGGTCTGAAACCTTTCAAGCAATGTGTATTTTCTATACAAGATGGAGAAAAAGATAAATTTACATAGCAGCAGCTGTAGACTAATCTAGAGAACATTTGATTGAAGACACAGGTGAGAAAATTACACTCCTGTACTAGCAATCTCCTTTCACAGTTACATAAGATAGCGTAAATGGAATACGCCGCAGGGTCGGAGGCGTTTTTGGAGGCATCATTTTGATATTGATGGAATCATGAAAAAGTCTTGCGACAAGCGACCAAAACTAAAAGAAAGGAAAGTAAAAGAAAGTGAGCTCGATCTAGTTTTATCTGGAGCCAATCTCCCTCTTGTCGTGACTGAGAAGACAGACGCTATGTACAGTATTTACAGGTTCATTTTGGCTGGAAATTGAGCTCTGTGCGGGTGCGACAAAATGTTCTATCCCAGAGGACAATTGCAAAGTCCCCTGGCATGTTATCTCGCTATTTGCCAGATTTGTACTCTTTCCAGCCACCTCCTGAAGCCTGGTAGTGGCTACTGGAAATTCCCCATGCAGTAAAAATAAAAAAGTGGACCAAAGCTTCATGTTTAAGTGGTGTTGATATACTGAATAAAAATCCATAGTCATATTCAGTTTCCTTTTATATATTTTTATCATTAACGGAAAATCTTAAATACTTAACAGAGGCTTCTGAGGTACTAGTAACACAATGTGTATCATACCATAGATTGGATTATGCATTATATTTAGACAACACTATACAATCAGCATAAAAGTCTTTTCCAAATATTTTTTTCATTTACTATTATGCTATTTCTGCAGAAATAAATCAATCAAACATGGTTTATTCTTCAAACGGAATGACAGCACTACTTGTAGGCTGAATTGCTCCCATTGTTACATTTATTATCATCATAAGTGTCAAATTACTTGTGTTACGAAACTATTACACTTATCATAAAACAGTCAGTATTAACATTAAAACTTTGCTATATTTGAAATAAGTTACATTTGTACAACATTAAATCTATTAATTACAACATAAAATGTGGTAATTTTGACATTACTGTACAGTTACTGAACCTTGTGTCGCAAGTATTCGGGTCAGTTTGGAGACAACAAGTCTACAGCTTTTTTCTGATTTTTGAATGTTGTAGGAAACCTACGGCAGAGGTTGTTTTTGTTTGTTTGTTTGTGTCTGTTTGTTTGTTGTTGCCGAGTTTTATCTCAGAGTACACGTAGGTACAGCAATGAAATGAAGAGTTAATCTAATGTGATTTAGATTTAAAATGTTCTGATTAATTTGAACACATATGTTATGAAAATTTTAAAAGGAAGCTAAAAAATTAAAGCAACCAATAAATTCACTTTCAGGTAACGTTACATCTAAAGACGTTACTTCTAAATCTATGAGTAAGAAATCACATCAAGAACATCTACTACGTGAAATACAGTGTAGATTTCCACTGTTAATCTTAGATCGCAACAACAAAGTTTAGAAGTTGCTACTAGAAAGGCAATCAAATACGCTTGTTTCAGCTGTATCGTCAAAAAAAGTACGGGTACAATCTACATATTATATACAGAATGATTCTTCACCTTTCTGTACTGACGAATCTGTATATGCTTGAGCATCAATTGTAAGATTTGAATAAAGAACAATGCCATAAAACCGATTTGTAACGACACTCGATGGATGCAGTGATCTATGTTTAAGGCTTTATCTTTTAGGCCCCACTAGATCCAACTTTTATCTCCAGGTACGGAGGTATTGTTCTAAGAGTGTTATGAGTGGGCCAGTAACCCCCTCAAATTATAGACCACAAAAGTTCAGGCACAGGGTAATAGGTTCCAGAAGCTGACCGAGTGCTAGCAAGGAGTTGGTGAGGAGTACTTGTAAGCCGTATAGCAACAAGAAAATGGGCGTTTGTCCTATTCTATAGGTCCGCTGAAAGCATGTCAGACCATCTCTTTTGTTGTGCCTATACAGTCAAAGAAACACTAAATACCTCCCAGGGCTCCGGTTTGTTCTTAAACAAGTTGCAATTTAAAAATAGAATGTTTACTGTCGGCGCCGGTCCGTCTTTTACAATGGGACAGAGCACAATGTAGACACGTGGACTGTATTACAAGGCGAAGGTAGCCTGATATTCACTCTACTCTCGAGCTCGCTAGATTCACTCTTTAGTCGCTTTCATAAAGGATATTCGTTGGAGCAAACGGGAGCTAAAATAACATGGATTGCAAGCTTCTACAATGTGAAACGTCTAGAGGGTACTCCTGCATTGGGCGAGGGTGTACTTCCATACTGTACGCTACGGTACAAAATATCTTCTGTTGTCTTGTCGTTCAAATTCATCACTGCCGTGGTGTTATTATTACAAAATGTACCATGGTAAAGTTTATTATTACAATGGTAAAGTTTATTCGCATATGCGCATTCAGTGAATGTTTCTTGACGAGTCAAATCGCCACCCCTGTTCATGTATACGAGGTTAGCAAAGTCGATCATGCTCTCTGGATTTGAATTGGACCTTGGAATAGTTTCTGGAAACTCGTTCAGACTGCTGATGTCTGAGACGGGACCTTGTTCTTGAGCATTGTGTCCTTCGTAAACAGGGTTTGAGAACTGTACGATACTTGCTATTTGGGCATTTGTATCAATAACTGATAATCTTACATTCTGGTTTGCAATGCCTTGTTGAATCGTATCCTTCTTTGCCTTCAACATTATGTCTATGACTCCAAAAGTCGAGAACAACACAAGTAAGGCAGCAGCAACGAACAAACTGGTCACCAGAATAGTTTCTGTTGTATCAACAGTCACTGCTTTACTTGAATAGGTAATCGTAGTGGATTCCACGATATTTTCGGTAGTTAGGAGGTTGTATGTAATATTTTCTGTAATTGCGAGCTGGGTTTTGGTTGTAACAAAAACGTCCATGGTTGTAAGTAGAGCACTGGTGGTCGTGTTAGCTTGGGTTAGGCAGGCCGACAACTTTGCTTTATGTAATGGTAAATCTTTCACGTTTTCGGGAGTGTTACAGTAAGGTACACCGTTTGAGACGAAGTCGTTATAAAATGGACTGTTTATGATTTTTGATGGACACACCAGCGGCCAACATTGAAACACGTTTACTAATTCAGCCAACCAGGACATTCGACAGTCGCAGTGGATCGGATTTCCATATATAGATATGCGCCATCTTCTACCCATAACCGGTAGAAAACCCAAGTTTGCCTCCGAAAATGTTACCAACTTGTTGAATGCTAAATTCACGTATTGCAAAATGCTTCTTCCTTTATAAACAGCTAAGTCGAGGCGAACAGTAGTTAAAAGATTGTGGGATAAGTCGAGTTTGACAAGGTATGGCAGATTTCCTAAGATCTTTCCACGGAAACGTCGTTATGACGTTGTGGCTTAGATTTACCGTATTTGCGGCCCGAATACCGGATAAGTCCGGAATGGTTTGGATATGATTCTGCTGAAGGTACACCTTGTGTATATGGTATGGGTGACGAGTAGGTAGACTTGTTATGTTGGATTGGGGGCAACGAAGTTCATTAAGATATCCGTTTTGGACATAACATTTTGCTGGCAACGAATCACATACATGTATCATAAGTATTGTAAGTATGAAACTAATTAAGAATTTCATGACTATTGTTGAACAGAGCAAGAGAGAGCAAGAGGACCACAATTTCAATCTTTTTACAGTGAACTCAATCCCTAAGTGCAATTATTCTCGATAAAAATAATTTAAATGGTTCAATCTTATTATAGATACCTAGGGGGGTACTGTCTTATATGATGCTAGTTTATTGGTTCTGCTCTAACTTGCCCAGATAAAAGTTATCTACAATTATGTTACAAATTAATGAGTTGAATTCTTGAAGAGATTCGTAATCAGAGGTTGATGATGATTCAGTGGCTGTCTGGTCCTGTAGCAACACATTATTCATTTATCATTTAATTACAAAAGATCGTTCGTGCTGGCTTAATTTCCCAATGTCTATGTCCAAATACCTGTTCAATAGAATCACTCTTGTGTAAAATTGCCCAACATTATTTCTTTAGAACAGTGTTGATGTAAAAGCATTGATTGGATGTTTGACATGTATGTGTTGGTATCCAATGCCATGGTAATTTCGTCTTCTGTGTTTGTAAATTT